GCGGGGGCGGGGCGAGAAGGCGTCCCGGAGGTCGCCTAGCGAGAGCCACCGGCTACAGCAGGTCGCCCCCGTGAGGCGAGACCGGAGAAGCCGCGAGGCCCCCGACTCGGTTCTTTCGCCCCGGCCGCCGCGCAGCTGCCGCAGACCACCGCCTGCGCCGCGCACACGCCTCGCGCGCCGCTCTTGGCCCCTTCCGGCCACCGTTGCTCCCTGTACCGCCGCGCCCGTGACCCGGAAGAGCTTTCTCCTTAGCAACTGCGGGACCGCGGCGGCGCCGGCCTCCGGGGAGCAAGGGTGAGGCCTCCCGCCCCGCTGCGCGCGCCCCACCTCGACCCCTTCTGAGGACCGACCCGGGTCTGGCCCGCGAGGCCTCGCGGCCCCTCGTGGGGCGCCGGCGGCGGCCCCGGGCAAGCGTCCGACGCCTCTGGCATCTCTCCCGGGCCCTGGCTTCGCCCCTGCCCACCCCACGCCCCCTGCTGCTGGCAGACCTGGCTTCCGAGGCCCCGCTCCTCGCCCCCCGCCCTCTCCTGTAGCCTAGTGCGGTGCGCGAGGAGGAAAACCAGAATTAAACAGAGCCGGTTGCTGTAGAGAGGATGCTTCTCGAGGCTCGGGTCACCTGTGGATGATGTTTGGGATGGGCAGGGATGGTGCGCCTCAGGAGCCTTGAACAGTAGCCACTCAGCTATAATGCTTGATGTTTGCCTGATGCTTTCCAAAGTGATACACTGTATCTGCTTGGTGGATTCAAAATTGACTATTTTGAACTGATCCTTTTCTTGGTAATTAGCTTTTCCAGTCTTTAGTGATGTGCAGTTAGTATTCTGTAGCTTAGATTTTGTATCTTCCAAGTTTATACAGAAGGAACTCTCCCTGGGACTGAGGAGGTTTAGGAAAATTTCAAGTGAAATTTGCTACGTTGGAGAAAGTAGGAGAAGGCGTTGTTAACAGATTTAACACACTATCAAAATCCTAGTTGCCTTTTTTTTTTCTGGAAATTGACAAACTGAAATTTATATGGAACTACAGGGGACTGAAAACCTCTATTAATTGTGTCTTATTTGAGCGTTGGTGGATAACGACCTTATATTGAGTCCAATGGTGGTGGAACTAAAACTGAGGCATTATGAACAATTTTGGGGAATGACAGTATTTGGGAATAAAATTCGGGAGTGTATATATTAAAATCCATTATTCAAAACAGTATAATTTCGTTTCAGTTCACTAAGTATTTATTAAGCACCTACAGTGTTATATGCACCCGGAAGGATACATATAAGAAATGAGACTACACACATTAAATTTTAGGAAAACTATAAAATAACATTTGTTTAAATGCAAAGTCAATGACGGGAGTAATCAGTATGGTCTGAGTTTTCAGGGATATGTTTATGGATTTTATCTCTAAAGTATAGAAACTGTCTCTTGATTTGTCTTTAAAGTATAGATACAACTTGTAATTATATTGGAGGGGACAGAGAATCCTCAATACTTTATATTTTTAAGGGATTGGGTAATGGTCTCGTGACTTTTTGTAGTATTTAAATTTCTAGGGTCACTCGATTGCAGTATATATTTCTTTCACTCTTGGCACAAATCTGGCAATTTTGTATTTGAGATCTCATATGATGAGGCTACTAGTATGGGGCTTTGCCATTTAGAGACTCTTTCCTCTGCTTCTGCAGCTGGTGTCAACTTCTATGGTTGGTGTCTTATAGGAGACACCACAGTTTAAGTAGAGTTAGTTACAGTTTCATACATACTTCAGAGTCTTGTGAAATGTTTTCCCTTCACTTCCAGAATGCTTCCTATGTAGCAGGCACTGTATCAGGAAATGCCAAAAACAACAGCAACTAGTAGTTCTGCTTTATGTTTGGTGTGTGTGTTTAACCTACCTGCCTTTGATGCTGAATGTTTGGCTAGAGACAGAAGAGCCAAAGAAATTTATACAGGTATACTACTTTTTATTGTGCTTCATAGGTGCGTTTTTTTTCTTTTTTCTTTTTTTTCTTGCAAAAGGAAGATAAGACTCACCACTAGCAAAAGGATTGCTACTTGTTTTATTGCATTACTTTATTACAGTTGTGTGGAACTGAAGCTGCAGTATTTCCGAGGTATGCCTGTATAGGTATCTGAATTGGCTTTTTTTTTTCCCCCCTAAGAGTTGAATAGGGATTTTAGACTCCATTTTTTGGGCATTCTCCAAAGGTTCATTTTGCGAAGATGCACACTCTTAAGGAGACCTCTTGCGATGTTTATTGCTTTCTTATATGTTTAGTGCCCATTTATTCACTTAGTTAACAAATATTTGATACTAGTCACTGTGTTTGGCATTGGAAATGGGGGAGAATGAATGCATATGTGGTTCTTGCCCTCAGCAGATGATATTAAAGAATCACACGCATGTAAATTGCAACTGTGACAAGTATTTGAGTTAGGGAAGTCAGAGAAGTGACATTTGAACTGAAATCTGAAAGATGCACAGGAAAGGAAGAGTGTTCCAGTTAGAGCAGACAGCAGGGGCAAAGACCCTGTGATGTCGGGGTTAACGAAGAGGACTGGGGACTTACGGTACAGCTTGACAGATGGAGCGGGAAGGGTGTAGAAGAATCTGGGGGGAGAGGGGGTTGGAGAGGTGGGCCAAAGGGTGCTAGGCCTTGTAAACAGGTTGAGGAGTTTCTTTTTTTTTTTATCCTTAGAGTAAATAGAAACCTTTATGGTTTTATGTAGGGACTTAGGCTGGATTGTGGGTGGGGGTGACACAATTAGACTTTTTGAATAGCCCGCTTCGTATTTCTACCACTGCTTAGTATTGGATACTTTTCTGAGCTTTATCGTTGTTGGGGAAGCCTCTGTGTCTCACTAGCAAGACATGTCCACTCTTGCTTTTAATTGGGAGAAAAGGAATTCTAGAGATCAGGATTGGACACTAGATGTTAGTTGATTTGAAATATTTTTGCATCATTGTGACCTCTAGGACACTAATTGCCATGACTTTCTTTCTGTGGTAATTAATAAAAACATAAAATTTACCTTCTTAATCATTTTCAAGTGTACAGTTCAGTGGTGTTAACTCTATTTACATTGTTGTATAGCAAATCTCTAGGACTTTGTCATCTTGCAAAACTACAACTGTACCCATTGAACAGCACCCTATTTCTCCTCCCCCTCTAGCTCCTGGCATCCACCCTTCTACTTTCTATTTCCTGGATTTTGACTACTCTAGATATCTCATATAAGCGAATCATACAAGATGTGTTCATTTTTACCTTCATGCTCCTCCCTGGAATATCCTTTCTCCCATGAGTTAATTCAGATCCTCCCAGTTCTTTAAGACCCAATTCCTCTCTCTTGTCCTTCAGCTTAGATTAGTAGACCCAGAGTGGAAGAAGCCTTAGAAGTCATCCTGTCCAACTCTCTCTTATTCTAGGTGAGAAAATTGAGTCTTAACGTTTTCCTGATTTGCCCAAGGACGGACATCTAGTGAGTCAGGCAGAGTTGGGACTAGAGTTCTAGTCTTTCAACTCTTGGGTGGGTGCCTCTTCTTCTTCGGCCTACTTACATGTTGTGAGTATCATTCTTTAGTTAGATGGGAAGTACCAGAGTCGTACAGAAACATTCCCATGTCTCCATAACATTATGCTGAGGCATATTAGATGCGTAGGAAATATTTTTTGATGAATTGATTGTCTTCAGGACTTTTATTGCCTAAGAGGTAGCCCTACATAAAATTTTGAACTTCATTGATTTCATATCCTTAATTGTATTATTCAAATTTACTTTGGTCCTTCTGCAATTGAATAATTTTTTGACTTTTGCAATCAGAGTTAAGACTTCTTGACCTTTTCTTAACACTTTCTTATTGCATGTATTTGCCCATGACACATATACTTACTTGGGTTTTGCGAATTTTGATGAAAATTTAATGAAGAAACCATCAGAAATGAAAAGCCTAATGCATTAAACTCTTTAGGTTAGTTGATTTATCTTAGAGGCAAAGGTTTGTGCTTCTTTGAGGGCTTCATCGCTGCTAGATATTTCTGAAAGAATCATATTTGTACCACATTTTATAGTGCTCACCTCAGAATGCCTAAGGACCAGTTGATTTTGGGTATCGGACTGGAAGTGATTTTGACATGACTTAATATTTTAAGGGCAGAAAAGTGTAACAAAGGATTTTCTTGTGTGAGGAAGATTTGCAGTTTCCCCATTTATCCCAGATTGCTTTCCTGTAATGTTGTATGACCGGCCTCATAGAATCCAGCTTTTAGAATGTCCTCTTATTTTACCCTTCAAAATTTTTTTTTTGCTTTATATGGGGAGTTGCTATGGGAAATAAAATTCATTTTCACTCAGATACTACTGAGCACGTGTACAAATCAAACCGTGGGCTGGGATAGACCCGTAGATTCTTCTGAGCTCCAGCTGTCTCTGCTGTTATTGGTGATGTCAGGGAGACTTGGCTAGAATTCTTGTTGTCTGTAGTAGCCTGAGGGTGGTGGTGAAACTGAACACGATGCTCCTTTGTGTCATGTAACAGGACACAGAAAGATTTGACAATGGGGACTTCTCAGATAGCATTTAATTTGGAACCATAGCAAGAACTTGATGCCCCAGAGTTGCAATTATGTGATTAACTCCAGTGTTGAGGCTAGAATTGGTCAAGTTTAGTCAACTATTAGTCTAAAGAAACTACCTTTTCCCCCCCAATTTTTAAAATTGTGGTTTATTGTGGGGATTATAATTTATGGATCCCTTTCTATTTGTCAAGTAATTTACATGTGTTGTATCATTTACTACCAATTGTTGTACAGTGAGGAAGATGATTTGACTCTTATTGAGAAAACGGGAGTCATAAGGCAATAAGTGTTGGAACCAAAGTATGGACTCATGTCTGTCTGATTCCAAAGCCCATATTTCTCTCATTACATTGCATCGTGCTACTTCCTGCAGACAAGTTCTGATTTCAGCATTTACACCAGGCATGAGAACATCAACATAAATACTATAGGAATGATAAAGAAAAGGGCAAGGAATGAAGCAGACTGATTTAGTAGGAGTATTAAGCCTTTAAATGAAGGAAAGTGATTGTTGGAGTATCTGATAGGCTTGAGAGCTTGGGCGCCCAAACCAGGAGGAGGCAGGAAGTTATATAATGCTAATTGAAGAACTCTGTTCGTTAGGTTCCTCTGCAGGCTTCCTTTGATGAGATTGGATTGTTTCTATCTCCCATTAGGCTTTGATGAGGAAGAGAAGTTTGTGGTGATTATCTGGGTGCTGAGAGATTCAGCGAGAAG